GCGCCCCTGCTCCGAGGCGTTACAGTACCGATATCATCAATAAATTTAAAATATATATATATATATATATTTCATGACTTTTGGGACACACCTTGTATTACCAAAGAATTATCCCTCATTGCTCAGAAACCTCTATACACAGAGAAAATTTTGAATCCGTATCAAGTTAAATACTTGTACATTAACATTTACACACAGATTCTGAAGTAAGGTTTCCATCAGTTCAGTGTGTGGATATTTTACTTTATGCAATTCGATATTTTTAAGCTTACATGTAGTTAATATGAAATAAATAACTAACTTACAATCACAATCAACAATCTCCTTTGGCTCCTTTCCACTGCGTCTGAGTTTAAGACTTCGTCTTTTAAATGAGCCAGTTGTAGCTCCTGCTGTTCCTCTCCTTAGAAGGAAGGGGCGCCCAGAAGGAGGCGGTCGACGACCCTTCTTCTCATCCACAGTTTGAGTCTCCTCACCCTCAAATGAAACATATTTATAATTGTGACAGGAATATCAGGAGCACATGATTGAACATGAATCTGAATTATTCTCAATACACTCCATCTATTCAAAAGCTTCATTTTTATTGGCTAATGAATCAGACTTCCAAAATTATTTTCTTAGTGGATGTTTGCATTACTTTGAGGGTGTTTCTGAAATGTAAAGTCTCACATACAGGCTTATTTTGTCAACTCTCCCCACAGAGTATTTTCTTTCTTCTCCCCCATGTGCATCAACTTTTTAATCAAAATACCAGGAAGTAAAACATTTGTGTCATTTTCTACTGCCCACTGACAGCCATAAATGTTCAAAACAACAACAAAGAAATGATATGAAAAGAACATTAAAATAACCATTAGAATGAGTTCCATGTAGAACTCACAAAGCCTACAATAACCTTCACTAACTTGAAAACCTTGAAAATTTTATGCTGTTGTCAAATTCAGATAATATAACTTCATAATCCAACAGTGAAACTCAACTGACCTCATGGGGTACCGTGCAGAACTCGTGTCACCATCAGATTAAATCCTGGGACAGTAAAATTTTTATTGCTTGCAACTGCAAATATGTTATAAATTACTATCATTTTTTGGCTGATGCTGTCCTATTTTTATAAGCACTTACTATTCAAGTACAGATTTTGTCTGAGTGAAATTTATCAAACATAACCTCAATATGTTGCACCACAACCAAATCTGTAATTCTTGAGTTATAAAAAAGTGTTTTGTGTATACTGTGTATGTATATTTAAAATCTATCTCCATACCAAATATCACATGCCTAACTCAAACCATTCATTAGCTGTTGCCATCAAACCAAAAGCTAAGAACAGATTTCATGCCTCTGCTATTTTATTGGTACGGGGGGGGGCTCACGTTAGTGTAGTTCTTAGAGGCAATAAGCTACAATCCAGAAGGTCGTGGGTTCGATTCCCGATGAGGTCAACGGATTTTGCAGTTGACCTAATCCTTCCAGCCACACCATGGCCCTGGGGTCGACTCGGCCTCTTAACACTTTGCGCAACGGCGATTTAAATATTTAAATCGCCCTGGGGACCGGCATTTTTATCCCTACTACCCTAACTTGTGCACTGTTCACTTTAAAAATTAATATAAAATCTCCTAATTAATTTTATGAACTAAAATTTTTGGAGAACACTTACCAGTGCTCCTAGAAGTGCTTGAAAGTGTGATATTTCTCAAAACATTCCCCTTTGTGAAGTGGCATTACACACTTGCAAATGTAGACAGTCATAGTCATTTTTTTGTGAACTGCACAAACATGGCATTGCCTAGAAGGATCCTTCCCCTTGGAATGTTCACTCTTCACAATTTTCACGAGGATATGTTTCCGCATATCACCCGAGAGTTGCCCAGGGGTGTCCACATGAGGCCTGCATGGGGTGGGAGTAGACGGGCCCGGTTGCACTAAGACTGTGTCTGCCGCCGGTTCTGCCACCACCATGTGGTCTGTAGCCCAGGCTTTTGCCACATTCAGCAGAAATGCCTTGTATTCATTTCTGAATGAGGGTTTAGATTTTTGAAAACCAAAAATGAATTGAAAATGGCAAAATTTATAAGCCACAAAGCAACTTTCTTTGTCCACTTTACTCTTTTCCGAGGAAGAGAATAATAGGCCAAGTACTGATCGGCTCTATCAACTCCCTTCATGAACATATTATACTCGGAAATACAAACAGGCTTCTTTACCTGTCCATGTCTCCTTTGAACATCAACCATGCTCGAATTGTGAATTGTGGAAATCATATTCACAACACGAGTATCCATCCAGGACTGAAGAAGAATATCCACCTTCCTCCTGAATGTGGTGAAATTTCAGGGATTTACATTCCTCTTTCAGATCTGGAGGAAGGCCTCTGTTCACCCTAATTGTTCCACAAACACGTACTTTTCTCAAAAGTAGGTGTTCTGCAGTTGTCACACTGTTATAATAATTGTCTTGATAGACATGGTAACTTTGATCAAGACAGGGTTCCAAAATGGAAAGAATAATTTCTTGTAATTTCTTCCCTTCACCAGAATAAAATTCTAGATTTCCAATATAGCCTGAAGTGCTTTCAGTAACTACACGAACAAGTAGACCATACTTTGTAAGTTTCCCAGGATTATATGTTTGTATATTGCACTACTCACTGACAGCTTGCTACGTACAGCTTGAAGAAATGAAGGTATTTATTTTCCTTTGTAGGGGCATACAGTTACAGCGAGGTCATGTAACTGATTAGTCAGCAAACATTCCAGAGGCTTATCACGAAGCTGCAGGCAGCTACGTGCAAGCTGGGTGGCGTTAGAGCAATGTATAGTGTGTTGCAACTTATCGTGTTCTAAAAACGTACTAATATGCGACCAGTCCGCCACATTTAAAAGCGAAACACGTATTACTGCATGCGCAGTCCACCAAGTGTTAACACAAATGAGTACCAGGAATCTTCCTGGGGGGTAAAGGGCAGCCGGTGTTGGAAGGCTGATAACCTCATCACCATCTGCATTTTTTTTATTGCTAGTGGGGTGGGACCAAGTCCCTTGTACTGCAGTCACTTCTGGCCTATTGTTCCAGCCTCAGATGTTAGGTGAGGTTGACTGTACTCAGAGAAAACCTGCGCCAGCGCCACTTTGTCCACCACAAATCCCACTTGACCATACCCAGGATCAAACCCGAGCCATCACGGTGGGAAGCCAGCGACTAACCGCTTGAGCTATGATGCATCACCATCTGTACGCCAACTGTCTAGGAAATGTGAGAGCCTCGATGTCTGACAACGGTAGGGGTCTCCAAGGCCTGGTATTTAAGGATGTACAAATTATCGGCACTAATTTTTCGTGAACATCAACTGCACTGGAATGGCCTACAACAGCATAATGCACATATGTTCCATGAAAATCATTCTGTGGGTTCAAAAGTTGAAATGGAGGGAGACATATTAAGTTAAGAGACAGAAACATATACACATATATATCATGGTTATCTTTCCTGAAGGAAGATGAGTGGGCTAGAATTACTAACTTCATGCATGGAACTATACCAACACTTCCCCATATGTCTTCATGTGGTGATGCTTAATTATACACAGGAATAATTTTTCCTTTATCCACTGACATTTACAAGCATACTGTTATATAATCATAGTGCCACTGTACGGTATTTTTTTTAATATAACAAATCAGCAGAACAACTTAATATAATTTAATCTTTATTTCATTACGAAGATGAAAGACTTGTCTCACCTGCACAGTCACAGTAGTATTACTGCTGCCCTCTGATTCATTGTCTGGTTCATGGAGGACAAAGCTAATCTTTCTCTCACACTGAAGAACTGAAATGAAGATCAGAATATAATACTAATAACTATTTAAAATTAACGAGGGATTCAAAACGGTATAAATTAATCATACTCAGTTTAATTATCTTTAATTCTTTGAGTCCCAGCAGGATTGTACATTAAACACTGCATGGTTTAATCCAAACCCTAGAATCTTGGTACTTCATTCAGTCATTTTATCATCATGTATAGACTGCAGAATTTATATGCTGATTACAGATGATTGAGTTGTATTTCAAGAAAAATCACTGAAGTTACGAGGAAGAAATCTACACATGATGGGATTACATGAAACAGATTGTATAGGAAACAAATAAGAAATCTTAATGACATTTGAGTATGGCGAAATACAAAAGCTACACTGACCATGTATAATGAATGTGTAAAATTAAAATGGCTAAAACAGTTTTTAATTGCAGAGTGACATAGAGAAATATTCAGTCCCAGTTCATAAAATGTAAGAATGGATTTCTTGAGTGAAATTAGAGGCATGTATAAAAATTAGAATACTGTCATGAGAGCTATACATGGGGTGGGAAGGGCAGCTGCATTGCCTAGCCTGGCTTTGCCTCTTCAATCAAAAAATGGAGACTACAGCACTTCTACATTGCTCCAGAAAAATCTGATGCCAGTGGTCACTCAAAAAGAGCATGAGTAGCTGCAAAGCCTCAGTAGAGGACAGTTCACTTTAGTGCCACAAACAGGAAACTGAACATACAGCAGCTTCAAAGAGAAGTTGGTTTAGTTCAGTGCAAAGAGAAAGAGACATGAAGTAATGAATGGTATCAGTTATTAGTAGGTCAGTGCAGTCTGAAAGTCAGTGAATTCGAGTATCAAGTCAACTGTCAGTTCAGTTCATGATCGGAAAAAAAGAAGAAGGAAAGGGGAAGTGCAGTGACCAGCAGTGGCATTACAGTGAAACAACTTGTACAAAGAACTAACATCACGATCATAAGCAGATACTTACAGTGAGACAACAGTTGTCCAAAACAAAAGTGAACGTTTGAACTGGTGTCAGTAGTCAGATCAAGGATGAATCTGGCATTACAAGCATTATAAGCACCATCCAAAAATAACTCAAAAAAACATGTGCCTGACAAGAACTCAAGAACACCAGCCAAAAGGAATTGCAACATGTGATATGAGCAATTAAGGATGACAGGAGTAAATTAGAGTGAACAATACGACTTGCACTGGGGACACAGCTGAAAGGCCACTTGGCATTGGCTACATAGCAGGAAATAATGAAATAATATTCATGAGATGTTCAGCAGTAGGCCTAGGGATGAAAGGATGAGTCGTAAAATCCGCTCGACGCAACATAGAAGTGACATGTACCAATGCAGAAGAGCTAAGAAAGATGCAAGAGCAACTACATGTGACAGAAGCAACTTGAAGTGATAAGGCAACATCCTAGGGGACACACCATAGAACTTTGAGATGCTGTTGGCCCCAGCAGAAGCCTGAACTAGATGCAGAGGCGGAGACAACGCAGGAGGCAACACCATCATCGTGAAGCCTCCTAAGCTATCTGGATCAACATCTTGGAGAGCATTCACTGCCAGCTCCAGCCAGTAGTTGATTACATCAGTTGGGCAGGCTGAGAGAAGGCAACACACCTACTCACAATTCTCCCGGAGCCACTTTCTGACATTCTACACAGTGTCATAGCCAGAGCTACATAAGAGGACATGCCATGGCTCTGAAGGGAAACTACAGTCACCAACAGATGGTGGCAGCCTTCCAGTCAACTAAAAGCTAGAACCCAAATGAGCGACAATACTCTATGATAACATGCCGCAGCTATATAGCAGTTGGCCTACGGGGCACTTATTTGATTACACGTTGATTTCATACAAACATAGGCAGCCTTTGAGTTCACTGATGGGCAAAAGACCATGGAGTGAAGCATCATCTCACGGGCAGCAAGAGGTCACTGAACAGATTCTTCAACCAGCCCTACAGCTAGAGACTGTGAATTCAGCAACCAGCCAACCAGCAAGGCTGTGGGAGACAAGGGCAGAAGCCTCAATGGGAACATGAATGCATATACTCAAGAGCTCCTGGATGCAATGAAAAGAATGTTAGCACTGCAGGTATGTTTTACACAACAGAAAATTCTCGAAAAACATGACACAAGTACTGTCTGAGAAGAGGCTGAACAGAACTCGGGTAAAAATTAAGAGCCAGCTTATAGAGGGGGATACTGGTGTCATCACACTCGTCCCCTTTATCCACATTTACCATACTAGCTGAACCATGACAACAGCCTAATTGCTAAGGACTAGATGGGAGACAAGTTATACCTTGAGACTATTGACACCTAGGCATCTGTGAGTATCACAGCAGGACCATCCATGGTCCATTGCAAAATATCAGACAAATTTATTCCAGGACTCATGTCCTGTGTGCCTACACACAGCTGTGTGCTAACTGTGCTCCAACAAATGTCTTTATGGCATGCCAGATTTCTACCATGACATTAATCCACGATGAGGTGATAAAGATGTGAGAGGGTAGTGATGCACAGCTGGAAGGTCCCTTGGAGATGAACTGTCTAGTAGAAATCATGTTCAAAACATCTTAAAAAAGGATTTACAGAACCAGGAGGTTGGTTCAAGCTCGACGAGATATACAAGTCAGAACTTACTCGGTCTTGGCTGAAGGCAACAACCTGGTTTGTGATCCAGTGACTTGTTCTTTTGGTTTCTTGGGGTGGGTTGAGACTGAGTGTAATTGGTACATCAATGACATATGACAGATGTGGAGCAGTCAGTGCAATTAGAATCTGCAGGAGAAACTGAAGTACTTGGAGAAAACCTGGCCCAGTGCCAAGTCCACCCCAAATACCACATGACATGACCTGGGATCGAACCTGGACCGCTCTGGTTGGAAGCCGACCAGTAACCGCCTGAGCCTTGGCATGGCCAAACCAGTGACTCAGTTGGCATCAGATGATTATTAGGAATTACAAACTCCAGGGATTCCACGGATCAGTGAACAGCTGTTATCGGTGATGTCCACCTGCAATCCAAACAACCATGCCGGACAAACCTGATAGTTGTGAAAGTTAATGCTTCATTTCCTGGACCTTGCTGTACCAAAGAACAATGGATATGGGAGATCTGACTGAGTTCACTCAGCACCAGCGATGGCAGTCCGATCCATCAACTCCATGTAAGCTCTCTTAAACCAGGCAAGCTGAGGCAGAGTATGCTGTAGGATATGAAAGGATGATGGGTATTTGAGTAGCCGGATAATCTTTGGTTTTAACACATTATGGTTGTCAAGAAGATGACCAGAGACCTTCGTCTCTGTATGGACTAAAGGCTGTTATAAAGAACGAATGTTCCATGTTACCCTGAATGGACAACATCCTGGATACTTTTGCTGTTTCCAAGTGGCTGTCCACCCATAATTTGAAGAGTGGTTATTGGCAGCTTGTCCTGTACCCTAGTAAAAAGTAGAAACAGCTGTCTCTATGAGATATTGTCTAGGAATTTAAATGTTATGCTCACTGGCCTTTGCAAAAGTCCAGTAATGTTGACATACTTTTGGAACCTGTCTCTGGGCCTTACTTACGAAGCCTGTTGGTGCATCTGGATAATGTGATCATTTTTGGTCCTGAAGTGCAAATTTTTTCAGACAAAAGTGCCATACCTGGTGGATATGGCACTTCCAGAAGGATTGACTATGGACCCAGAGAAGCTGGAGACTCCATGTGAGAAGGCACAACAGAGAGACAAATCTGTTGGTAATTGAGATAATCTGCCACCAGAAGAACACAGCTGGATTCATGGACATTGTCAAGCCCCTGACATAGCTCACAGAAGAAAAGCGATCCTTTTGTGATTTTCCAAAGCAGAAGATTCATTCCAGACCATGAAGAACTTGTGTATGCAGCCATCCTAGGATACTTGGGAATGGTAATGATTTAATCGTTGAAACAGATGCGAAGAACAAGGCGATTGGAGAAGTGCTGTCACAAGTGCAGGAGTTCAGCAGCGCATGGTATCTTATAGTAGAGCCTTAGCCAAGGCTGACAGGTACTGCTGTGTAAATCCCACAGGATTTACTGCCTACTATGAAGAGAGGAACACTTCCACAAATACTTCTATGACACAATTTTCACTTGCATACTGATCACGGTGGCCATACCTGGTGCCCTAGTTTTGAGACACTGGAAGGACAGATGGTCCATATGATCAAACATCTGCAAAAGCACAAATACTGTCAATGGCACAACTACACCATGTATGCTGTCCTGAAAAGACTGCCCAGAGACATGCGCTCACCACAAAAATGTCGATCAGAAGTGCAGAGGTATCTGTCACCACTGCTGCTGGGTAGAATCATGAGCACTGAACAGGGGCCAACTTGATAACATTGAAGTGGAGGAAATTATGTGATTTCTCAGTTTGTTTTCCTCAGTACTTACCTCATTTCTTTAATTAGTGAACTTAAGCTACATTGTAAGATTTGAGGCTTTCACGGCGGTGACTATGAAGAAAGCAGTCTTCTGGGATTTGGCACCATGTATATGTGGTGTTAACCGATGTTTCAGAGGAACGTATCGCCTCCATCTTCAGGGTAGAAGAAAAAATATATAAGAAATCTGCAAGCAAAGAGACCGTGAGAACCGGTAAAAGCAGTTCTCACAGTCTCTTTGCTTGCAGATTTCTTATATATTTTTTCTTCTACCCTGAAGATGGAGGCGATACGTTCCTCCGAAACGTCAGTTAACACCACATATACACGGTGCCAAATCCCAGAAGACTGCTTTCTTAAGCTACATTCTTGAATTCCTCTTGCAGTTTGCCCAGCACTTACCATATTTCTGGAAAAGCTCAGTGCACATGCAAGAGCCGAGGCACACTGCTTTCTGTAAGGTGTGAGAAGAGGGAGGGGTTGTCTGGGAACTCTGACAGGCATGCACATGCTGCCATGTGACCTGCCTCCCTTGCCCCCTGCACTCAGTCCTCACGGCCATATGACAGGAAATAATCCCCCAGTACATTCAGCTTTGACTTACGGAATAGAATACATGGATGGACTAAGGGCTGACTTATACATCTACTGACTCCTGTTTACAGCATTAGGTTTTCATTTTCCAGAAGCAATCCTGCATAATGCATGGATGAGCTGACTGGCTTATAAAGCTTATTCTCAATATAGATATACGTGTTATTTTCCTTACCATAAGTAAACACAGATACAATGTATTTACCTTTTGCTTACAAAACAGTTCCATATAAAGCACGGCTGGACCAGAGATAAGTTTACAGAAGTACAGGATGATTCTAAATTGTTGCCGAGGTTTCCATGGCCTGTAATTTTCAAACAAAAAATAACAAAACAAAGCTGCTTATGGAATATGAAAGTGTAACTCAGAAAGTTTTATTAGCTATAGAACCAATACTGCAGAACGCTAAACAACTTCAACATGTGCACCTTTCCTGGCAGGTAAGATTTACAAAGTGGTATTCAGTTTCCCTCCAAGTGTTCTCTAGCATTTGTGGTACAATAGCAGCCTCCGTAGTCTAGGGGTAATGTTCCCACCTCATGACTCAAGGTATGCAGGTTCAAACCCGGCAGAGGTCATGGAATTTTTAAGGGCAGAAAAATTCAGGGAACAAGTCCTCCGGGAGGGACTTCAAGCCGTGGGTCCTGTGTCGTAGATTTACGGCACGTAAAAGATCCTCATGTCTCTAGGAGACCTCTGAGCAAAATTAGGTAAAATGTTTCCCGCCCAAGTAGTTTCCAATGCCGCTGGTAGATGGGGGAAGTATCGGGTACCATTGCCCGTAGAGGGGCCAAACTTGCTGGGTGAACGGGACTGTTAGCACACACCAGTATCAGAAGGGTATGGCGACTGGTAGAATATCAAATGGGGATGTACAATAGTTCAACAACTGGTCGCGGTGCATGGGGAAACCCACCCCCTCCAATAATGAATGAATGAATGAATGAATTTGTGGTACAATTGTTTTAATCGCAGCAATGATTCTGAGCTTCAGTTCATCGAGGGAGGTCACTTGGGTCTTGTAATCAATGTCCTTAACGTATTCCCACAGGAATAAATCAAGCGGCATAACATGGGGTGAGCACGGAGGCCATAGAATTGGTCCATCACACCCAAACCATCGCCCAGGAAAATGCATGACAAGAAATTCTCAGAACACCACATTTGGCTGATAATCTTCCAACAGGGGTATACCTAACTGCAAAGAAGCTCATCTAGTTGATTTTTTGTGGGCTTTGACAAAATGCTTCCTAAATTCATTCAACATCTTCGTGTGAAGTGCTTGGTCTCCCCGCTCCTTTTTGGCGGAGAACACTACCAGTCTCTTGAAACTGCTTTAACCAATGTCAGATAGCACTGTCTGAAGGTGGACCTTTTCTGTATTGAGTTCTGTAATGATGTTGTGTTTTGATAACAGACTTTGTTTAAAAAATCCAAAGCACACTTACTGCTTTCTCTTGAACAGTCGCCATTTTGAGGCATGACATCAAATTTTTTCCCAGATATCAATGCAGCAAGTATATCATTGATAAATAAAACTTTCTGTGTTACATTTACATATTCTATAAGCAGTTTTATTTTGTTGTTCCTTGTTTGAAAATTATAGGCCATGAAATCCCCAACAATAATTTAGAATATAATTGTATTCTGTAACCTCAGTATAATATCAAGTATTCATTTTTCAGAAATAGTCTATCATATTACAGGTTCCTTTCCCTAGAAACCTCTGGCACAATAATTGCCATATGCAAAGAGAGTTCATTCAGACAAAAGGCATATATGCTACTTGTGACAGCATGGCTGCAGTTCACTGCATTGCCATAGAGGATATTGTGCTGGGGGTTTCCATGCTTGTGGAGTTGACTTTCTCTATTCAGACAGAACTTCATCATTGAGTACTGTCAAAAAGGTGACACAAACTTACCATGTTTTGTAAACTTCTACAACTGGTCCTTCTGCTTTTAGGTATGCCTTGCAGCATGAAGGCAAGTCGTCACACATTCTGAAGTTCTGAGGTGACTTATTCTCAACACATTTAAACACCCCATGACTACTTTTACATTGTGTAATGGCACTTGTTGAATGGCATGAGGATTCTCTTCACTTTAAATTCAAATGCTCTGCATAATAACTCTCAATAGATACTCAGGGTAAAGAAGGACAGGGAGTAACAGCATGAACAAAACATATGGTATACTTCATCTGCGATCACTTTCCAAATATAACAATGAGTCAGTCATGCAATCAACAAGTGTAGTGTTACAAATCAGTGTACCATGACTGAAATAACAGCATAAGAAAATTCCGCATGCTCAGATATTTTCACCTGGATGTCTGAATTTTCTTACTGATACACTGGGGTAACATAATTCAACAGTTGGTGTTCATAGTCAAATCCTTCATAAGAGAGCTAGAAAGAGCATTCAGAAATACATCTGTAAACACCTGAACGGATGATTTGTGTATCTGGAAGCGTGTCAAGATCTGGTGAAATGCCGGTGGTTTGTGACAAAAAGAAATGAGAAGAATATTCCAAGTTTAAGGTGTTCAGGTTCCCTTGGTACCAGAAACTGGGGTTGTGTAGGGGTTTGCATTCACAGCCACAAGTCTAATTAATAACAGTGGCAACAGGTAATGTAATGAGATCATGCAGCAAGAATTAATTTCTGTAACTGGCCGCTATGGCATGCGCCATTATAGGGTGAAAAAAGGGTAAAGTNCACATATACACGGCGCCAAAGCCCAGAAGACTGCTTTCTTCATGGTAAAGGTTTCCTTTTGCTTAACTAATTAAGCACCAAGTTATGAGGGCATATGGGGGAGTGGTTGTATAGTCCACATTTCTTGACCTTGGCACTAGCTGGAGGGGAATGGTCAGCTTCATAACCCAATTGCTCTGCCCCAGGGAAAGAGCCCCCTCTACCCACTGGACAGGCTGGGTGGGACCGGTCTGGATGACATGGAGAAGCTTCTTGATCCTACCTGGACTTCAACTCTGACCCTTCTTGTCATCCAACCCATAGCAACTCACTATACCGACTGTGCTATCCCTGGTCTCCATTATACAGTGTAAAGGAGTGAACTGGTGTAGTATAAGTACACAGCTAACTGATTCACTTTAGAACTTCACTGTGTTGCAGAATGTGTTTCCATATTGTGATAGATACATGCTTGAAGAGAGAACAGGGCCAATTCTAGCACTTCCTATAAAGCAAGTTTATGTCTGCTTTTTGCAGTGCTCAGTGATCAAGTTTTGTTTAAGTAGGGAGACTCAGGTCTCCAAAGGAGGGGACATGAATGCACTCTTCCTTCTGTGGTCAGGCAGTAGATCACCATTGCAGTATAACAAACAGCACAGTCTTTCTTTTTTCATCTGAATGCCCTGTCTGAACACAATTCACATATCTGCAGCATAGTTTGTAATTCTGCAAATGATAATTTTTACTAATATTTCACACTCCTCATTTATACTAATGCAGTATCAGCACCATAAACTGACTGCTAGACACACCTAATTTCCTGTGAGATATACCTGCATCTCTGTCTCCTGCAATTGACTGCAGGCTCTGTGCAGAAGTCTGAGAATGACCCATAGAAGAAAGAGCCATGCTCCATCGACGATTCGCTTCACGACTATATATGCGTTCCCACGGAGGTGGCCGTTCTTTGGCAGATGATCTGGATGATTTTGGCAGAGTTTGATATGTCTCACGAAGAAACGCTGTTATTTCCAATAATAGGATGCAGGCCAACAGTCTGAGTGCAATGGGGCACTCCAGTCCATAGAGGTTAACACTGGCTGTGAAGACAAGTATCAGTTAAATTCTCTAATTTTGACCTACCAAAGTTATTCAATAAAATATACTGTTACTACAAATATTAAGCACATGAAATTTTATATGTATTTATTGTACAGTTTCACACAATAAAATTAGACCATCTAGACATGAAATTTGTGAAATGATATTAATCCAAATATTTATTGCAATTTTGCTAATTTGATCCTTTTTATACCACCCTCACTACAGGTGCTGCTGGACATAAATCAGGCCCTCAATATAATCAGGGTGCTGGAGGACAGCTTAAGTGCCAGTGTTATAAGCTACCAACAATAAATGTGAAATTGACGCTTCTCTTATTTTGGAATCCCTGTTATTACGTATATAGCATTTAGGTATTGATTAATATAGGTGCATGAAATTTGAGGCATACTTCAGACTTACATTTCACCAGTGCTACTTTCATAGATTATTCAATATTATTCCTACATGTGTCTCCTTAAAAAAATATTCTCATATTAACCCTTTGACGTGGTCATTTAAATTCCGCGGCCGCGGCTCCTGCGGTAATATATTCAGCCGGCCATTTAAATTTTGCTCGAAAATTATTTATTCATCATTGTTCTTAAATTCTATGAGATAGGAACATGAAACTTT